TCCCAGCTCATTACCACCTAACCTTACGTTCTTCCTAAACCCAACCCCCTCCCCCCATCCTTCCCCCTCCTCGCCCCCTCCCTCCATCCCTCCCTCCAAGGAAACATGAGGTCCCGCAGACCTCAACTGTCCCTCACACTTCAGTGACCATATGTTTCCCAGGGGGTGCCCAGAGTGGAGGTGGTAGCTCAGGCACCTCTCGATCCACCAAACCCCCATTGACCTTGCCCTCCAGTGGGCCACAGGGCTGTGTGTCCACATGGCTGAACATCCCAGCCTCTTCACCCTCTGTCTCCCTGTGGTAAAAGTAGCTGAAGTTGGAGACAATAACTGGAACAGGCAGGGAAATGGTCAGCACGCCTGCGATGGCGCACAGAGAGCCCACTATCTTGCCACCCACAGTGACGGGTGCCATGTCTCCATAGCCAACTGTGGTCATGGTGACCACTGCCCACCAGAAGGACTCAGGGATGCTGGTGAAATGGGAGTCTGCCCGGTCAACCTCAGCAAAGTAGACTGCGCTGGAGAAGAGGACCACACCAATGAAGAGGAAGAAGATGAGGAGGCCCAGCTCACGCATGGAGGCTCGTAGGGTCTGGCCCAAGATCTGCAGGCCCTTGGAGTGTCGGGACAGCTTGAAGATGCGGAAGACGCGCACTAGTCGGATGACTCGAAGGATGGCCAATGACATGGCTGGCTGGCCCACCCCCCGCTGCCGGGCCAGCTCGGTACCCAGTGCCACAAAATAGGGCAGGATGGCCACGAAATCGATGAGGTTCATCACATTCTTGAAGAAGGCTGTCTTGCTTGGGCAGGTTGCCAGGCGCACCAGCAGCTCGAAGGAGAACCAACAGATGCACAACGTCTCCACCACAAAGAACGGGTCATCGAAGGGCAAGCGAGGTGGGGGTCCAGGCACTGGGCTGGAGCCGTTCAGTCGAGCCGGGAACTGTAGGGAGGAAGAGATTCAGGGAGGACCATGCCAGGGCTGGGACACACTGGAATGGCCATATTCAATGTTTAAATATTCAACTACTTCTTTAAAAATTGGTCAATAGCTGCTTTCCCTAGAACCCCAGTGACCCAGCTGTCACAGACTCCTTCCCAGGACCACAGGGATCATCCCTGGAAGGCTGACTTTAGGTTCCTTGATCCTTCACTGGCAAGGCCTCCTGAAATGATGCTTGAGCAGGGCTGAACCCCTTCCCTCCCAAAATCTGGCCCCTAGCTGATTTTCCAGATGAGGGGGGCCCCCGCCCTGGCCCCACTCCCTTGTGCCCTGCCCTCCCCAAACCCAGCCCAGACCTTATCTGTATGTCAAAATCTGGGCCCCTCCTCTCACTGCTCTCAGTTTGACTTTCTTTATGACGGAGTCCTCTTGCCCCAGCCCTTAAGCCCCATGCATCGTCTTCAGCTCCTTCAGCTCCTTCAGCTGCTTTCAGGACCCAGATCTCTCCACCTCCAGCCCATCCTTACCATTGGGAACTGCCAGCCATATAGACCCCTTATTTTTCAGGCTCCCCTTAAATTTGCGCGGGGAGATAATTAGGTTTATTTATTTTAAGTGGTGGTACTGGGGGATGAACACAGGATCTCATCCATGCTAAGCATGCGCCGTACCACTGAGCTATACCCTCCCTCTCCTCAGTTTCGATTTCTTAATGTACCTGTCCTCCAGCCCTCCTGCCCTCCACAAACCGTGTTTCTCCCCTACCTCAACTCCTCCCTTCAGATAGGGCAGGTCCTCCTAGCCAGATCCTCAGGCTGTATCTTCCTGCCCCCAGCCCATTTTTTCACGGTAGAGCCCCCTGGTCAGGCACTACCCCTGGGTTGCCCACCTCTCACGGCCCCTTGCCCATCTATGATTGGCTAGGTCTTCCCACCCAGGCCCCCCAATGCCCTGACCACCCAGGTCCAGGCCCCACCTTCCTGAGATGCCCCGCCTTCCACTGCCCCTTACCCCATCTTATGATTGGTCAGGTCCCTGTGGACCCCGTCTAGCTCCTCCCAAACCCCGCCTCTTCCCATTCAGGCCCCGCCCCCTCACCGGGCCAGCGGCAGCCACCGCGGCGAGCCCCGGGTTGTCGCGGTCATCGCGGAAGTCGGGCAGTGTCTCGAGGCAGAAGACGACTATGGAGACAAGGATGACAAGCACAGAGACGACGGCGAGCACGCGCGCGGCCTGCGAGCTCTCGGGGAACTCGAAGAGAAGCCAGAGCTGGCGCGCAAAGGCGCGGCGGGCAGTGGGCGCTCGGACGGCAAGGGGCAGCCTCG